GCCAGAAAGCAGGAGGTGGGCTGATTTTTGATCAAGGTGGAAAGTGTCAGGACTTAGGACTCAGCCCCTTCCATCACCAATGGGTATATGTTACCTGAAGTAAAATAAAAAATACACACAAGAGGGGTGCCTGTGTGGCTCAGTTGGTTAAACATCTGCCTTGGACTCAGGTCATGATCCCAGCCTGCTTCTCCTTCTGCCCCTTCCCCACCCAACTCATGCGTTCACTCTCAAATAAATAAAATCCTTAAGAGCAATACACTCAAGGTACTATGATAAAACTTTCAATTAATCATACTAATTGCAGGGGAGATAAGAGCTGAGTGAAACTGTCACCATGAAATCTTGTATTAGCCAACTGTTCCAACACCTCTCTTGGAAACAATAACAGTCTTGCAAAATCCAAATAAAAATGATCTGGATATTTCTTTTTTACGTGGGGAGAGTGCATAGTGAAAATGATGCCAACATGATTTCATATATGTCTTTTAAAAGCAAAAGCAAATAAAAAGAACAAAAGCAGGATGTATGCCACTTTTTAGATGGTCATTAGTTCCCCCAATAACAGCTCTGATAGCCTCTAGTCATTGTCGAGTTCAGTTAGGGAAACTAATGGAAAAGTCTAGAACTTTACTAGGATGTTCTGAAAATGCCTTTCTGCTACTCTTGAAGGAAAAAAAGATCTTTGATTTGGAATCTAACATATTTGAAAATTAAAGTATTAAGCAGTCACAAATAAATGGTAATGAATCTCTGTAGTTTCTTTAAGAGAAATAGAAGTTACATTAATCCGTGCTGACCTGAAGTAAATTCATCAGTGTGCACTCCTGAAGTTAATAGCAAATTACAATTATATAAAAACCTCCAAGCTTGGTTCTTTCTGAGGTTGGTAGATGCTTCTGGTAAAAGGGTGCTGTATTTTGAGCCTAAATGACTTTTTCCCTATATGTCTTACCCCACATTGTTCTCCTCACCACCAAAATAAATACATAGCCCTACCTATTTTCTATGAAGATAAGTCCATTTAAACCAAACCTCAAAGGTAGCCAGAGAGTGGAAAACAGGATGGGGGGCAGGGGAAGTCTGAGATGAGGGGAGTGGCTTCAAGATGGCCCTAATACTTCAAAGGAGGAGTGTATGGAGCAAGCTTGTGCTGGTCTTACCCTTAGGTTTCATAGGCAGACCACACACTTGGAAAATCATTACTTGGAAATCATTTGTAAGTGGGTGATCACTTCTAATTTTGCCTCAGGGTTGCTGTGTGGCACAGTGAACGAGCTTCACCAAATTCACGCTTCACATCAGTAACTTACATTCCTGGGCTCCTGGAAATCAGAACGTTTGCAGATGTCTTTGAAACAACTCTCTGGTTAATGCTGTGTGTGTACCTAACTTTTTAGCACCCAGAGGATCGTGCCTCCCTGAATTACTTATTCCACCCACACAGCAGGTAGAAGGAAGGAAAAGTGATGACACTGTGACTCAGAGTAACATTTTACGAACACTGCGTTTTTGTTTACCATTTAGATATTTCTGATCATTAAAAAAAAAAGTGCTTCCTGTACCACTCTCTATGATATGTGAGTAGATTCCTTCCTTCCTGGGCTGTTGTGAATATACTGAACTTATAGTATTTAACTTAACCTGGAAAAGATGTTTTACATGCAAATTTCAATTTCTCAAACACAATCTGTTCCAGTAAATCTCTTCTTAAACTTTTTTGTTATTCTAATTAATATGGATTATAACCTTCTGTTACCAGAACTAATTATTCATATATATGCATATTTATCATATATAGACTTATTTATACCTATCTTTATATCTGTCTATACATATATATAATTATTCATACCCTTCTTTTTAAAAAATGAGTGAGACATGAACAAATTAGGCAAATATAAAATAAGATCAGGAAAATGACTTGGAACCAGAAATGCATTTGTGCACACATTTCCAACCCCAGAGTCTTAGATAATTCTGTCTATGAGCTTTCTAGATGTCATATCTCAAAGGAAACATGATCAGTTTCAAGGTTCCCTATTAGTTGAAATCAATCACTGCTCTATGAGCCTGGTTTTTCAGAGACGTAAAGGGCACCAGAACCAAGTACAGTGGTCATTGTGGAGTTACAATTTCCCAGAGTGGGGAATATCTACATTTTATTAATTAGCTTTGATGTGGCAGGTCCACAGATGTCCTTTCAGAAACCACTGAGCTAGAAATGAGAATGCTGTGTTTCTTGTCTCTTATTAGTTGAGAAGCCCTAATGGCCAAGCTTTCCAGCAGGATTCTTTGTAGCGTCTTGCTCCTCCTATGGTTTTCTTTCCACTGAAGACTTCCAGCTACAGGACCAAGGAGAGCGAGAGAACCGGTACACAAGAGAACTGGTACAAAATCACCTACGTGTAGATAGTTCTTTAGGCATTGCTCATTTTGCTCTTAGCTCCTTCAATATCATTGAAGCTAGAGCTTCAAGTCCAAAAAATGTTGTAATCCATTGGAAAGTTGTTAACTTTGTCATTCGTGGGAGTCTGCCCCGAAATACGGTACTTACTAAAGGAACGCTTGTCAAATGTTGCCTGCACCTGCCAGGTGGGAAAGAGCACAAAGAGGATACAGATCAGTGAGACTTCTTGAAAGGCCATTGTCTTCTTTGGGTATGATATTGATTGGAGCCCAAAAGTTCTCAAACATGCCCCCCACCAGTAGAGAATCTGAAACAAATACTTTTTCCATTTAAAAATAAACACAAGCCTACTAACCTACATGGACTCCATTGGTTTCTGGAATAGATAATGAAATCCTGTGTTTCAGTAGGATCCAGTAAGCCCTCCCTCCTTTTAGGTAAGAAATATAATAAAAATAAGGCCAGTAATAAGAGCTGGTATTCATTGACCATTTGTTGTAAGCCAGGGATCACGCTCAGCATTGACCCTGTTTTAATCATTTCATTTTATCAACCACCTGAGGAGATATGTGCTTTTCTTTCATCTATTTTATTAATGAAGAAACCAAGGCTTGAAGATATAAATAACTTGCCCAAGGTCACAAGACTCAGAAGGAACAGATAAGAAAACCAGAATTTAACTCCTGGTCTGACTTCTAATGACTTGGAAATCTAACCACATTAAGTTCTGAGCCTGTTTCTCATTCTCAAGTAGCAGATGAAATTTGTAAGGGTGCAGGCTTACCCTCGGAAGGGAGGGGGACATCTGTGGCTTATGAAAATATGGATTTACTGCGCTGGTATTGATGTACCTACCATGAGAAAGAGTTTGGTTTTCTGCAGTCAAGAAATAGACTGACCAAAGCTAGACCAAATTTTGAGTAGCCAAACCTGCCTAGGAAAGTATGTCCAAACTTGTAGAATTGTTGTATTTGTTCATTCCTGAGTAACTTCTTTATACCAAGAGGAGGTACACACACACACACACACACACACACACACACACACACAGTTCAAGAGGAGTGAATAGATCTTATGTGAAATTTTGTCCTAATTACTGCAGGATTCTCTCTCCACTGATAGCATTTACATGAAATGGTTTTCAGGGTCGAAAGAACAATGTTCTCTGAAGGGTTGACCTCACATGACTGGGACATGGATTACAATTTTCCCAAATGTTTTTGATATTGTTTATCTCAATAGGTATTTGAAGAAATTAGCACATTGACCCTGTTTTTTTGCAGATGTTATTGCTGAGTTGAAACTAGGTTGATTTTGTTCGTTTGTTTTTTTTTAAAGTGGGAGTATGTTTAAAGCCCAAACTCTAAAAAGTTAAATATTACAGGAAACAAGTAGATACAAGAAAAATTATGAAGTCAATGCATGTAGGTCTGAAGTTTGGAGAGAACCTGGTAACATTAGCTCTTTTCATTCATTCACTAGCTGAAGCCCACCAGAAGCTTCTACCATAGATGTGGATAAGTAACTTGGAAGAATAATAGAAGTGGGGAGGGGGCTATTAGTCTAGAATGGATTGTGTTGCCCATTTATTTCCCACCCTATCCCCCCATTGTGTGAGGTGAGGGAATTTCTAGTGTATATAGCTGTACCTTTTTTAAAAACCTGTTTTTTATTTCCGTCATGGGTAGCATTTGCCTTCCTCTTAGGCAACAAACTGTAACACGGGTGTGTCCTTGGCTCTTTCCTTCCTTAGCATTTCATTTTCCAAGCCCTTTTGTGGAACGTAAACAGTCCTAATACCTCTTTCCCCCACAACCCTCCTAGTTTATTTTTCCTTATGGCCAGTGTTGTGGGACTGGGAAGCAGATAAAACAGTCGTGCCCAAGTCAGATAAGATGCTTAAAAATAAAAGATACCATGAGCTGCAATTAGACAGTACCCAAGGGTCCAAGTAATCTCCTTTCCTGTAATAGCTGTGCTTTACCCAAATGAGAATTTCCACGTATGAAGTGTGCTATAGAAAAACCGCCCATTTACTCAGGTTTTCTCTCAGATTCAAAATGACATTAAAATGGGAATTACCATAGTTTTCTTATATCATATTTGGAAAAACACATGTTTACCTTTTTGCCTTTTCCTGGGGCTCTCTTTCAGTCTTACTTCAGATCTTATCGGTGATTTTTTTTTTTTAAGATTTTATTCATTTATTTGACAGAGGGGGCATAGGCATAAGCAGGGGGAGCAGCAGGCTGAGGGAGAGGGAGAGGCGGACTCCCCACTGAGCAGGAAGCCTGATTCAGGGCTCGATTCCTGGACCCTGGGATCACGACCCCAGCTGGAGGCAGACGCCCAACTGACTGAGCCACCCCGGCATCCCTTATTGGTGATTAATTTAAAGAGGGATAGGACTTCTGAGCTCACGTGATTTATTGCCATTTTTTGCCTAGCGTCTGGATGATGGCTTGGTCTTCCTTGGTAATTGCTTTGCAGTTTTAAAGAGGATTAAAGAGAGTTTCATTGCATATTGAAAATGCAACAAGTGAAATGAAGCATGGCAGACACTTACAATGGCGTTGTCTCTTCGTTTTAGATGGTAAGGTTGAGGTTACAAAAGAAGGTGTGAAGCTCTGCACCATGGGTCCAGGGAAAGTGTTCGGCGAGCTGGCGATTCTTTACAACTGTACCCGGACAGCGACCGTCAAAAGTAAGACTGTTTTCTTATTTTGCCAATACTTTGATGTCTTTTCCCCTGGACCTTTGAGATACTGATCACCATGCCTATGGATCTCATCTTCATGATTTCGTGAATCGATATTTTAATTCTTACCATGCGCTGTGGTTGATATAGTGGTTTGCCCTTGTCAGGGAGGGTTAACCATCTGTTCTGCAGAACTTAAATTTTATCACTGACTCACGGAAGTTGTTCTTTTAACTTAGACTTCTTATCGATGATGATTTACAATATGTTACAACTTTATAAACGGAACAGCGGCGGAGACCTTCCCTTTTCTGCCTTTAAAGTCTCATGCTAATACTTACGGAAGTTTTACAAATCTGTCTATTCTGGGTTACATTCCCCCATAAATTCCACGTGTTCATTCAGTGGTTTAGAAAAAATTTAAAGGAGAAATGTCCTTCATCTCATTCAAACATCATTGAGCGAGATATAGCCTGAATTCTAAAATCATGTTGGAGGATATTCTTGTCTTCAGCTGTTCATCAAGCTGTATATTATAGTATTTTTCTTTTCTACTGATTGAGCTTATTTTAAATCGGGGCAATAAAGCAGCTTGTTTCCCTAATTTTACATGTATGTGTATATATGATTTCTCCAGCAACTTTTATTACTCAGTAGAAACAGCTGCAATCCTTGCGGGGTGGGGATGTGGTTGTTTTAAGTACTCCTTCCTGACTCTGGGGGGCAATGAGCATGTAACAAACAGAGCTGCATGCAAAAGCCAACGGTGGAAGGTCCATTGCGTCCTTCAGCAGCTGTATTTCATGTTGGGAAATGATCTTCTGACCCATAATCCTGTAGATGACGGCAATCACAAATCACTTTGATTAGGTTTTGTTATTTAAAAAAAAAAATTCCTTTTGGCAGAAATGACAGGTTATCAATTAGTTTTAGCTGGATGCCTTTGAATGTTTTGTACATCGGGGTTCTTTTTCTCCTTTGGATACCAATATGACCCTGAACCTTGGGTTGTAAACACGTGGCCAGCCAGCATCCCAGAAGTTGTCCTCTGTGCCTTGTTAGTGAATCGCCTTTTTACTCACTGAAGTCGGTCCCTGGGACCTCAGTTGCTGTTGCGGCACCCCTAGGATGAGTTCTTCTTGACATTTGAGTCTTGATCTTTGAAAGCACAAAACTCTTTTGAATGACCGGCCCCCCCTGGTTTTTATTTTATGTGATCACTTAATTACACAGCTCAAAGAAGAACAAAGCCCCGTGAATAGAACAATAGCTGCCGCAACTTGAACCCCTGTAAAAAGTGCCTTCAGTAGGAAAAAGACTAATCGTGACACTATTAAGTGAAACGGATTATGCTATCAGGCTGCATTTTTCTGAGAAATACATTCCTTGTAGGTCAGAAGGCCAGAATAACACATTTTGATTAAAACAGGCTTTCTCAGAATTGCAAATAGTGAATTGTGCATATTTTAAAATATTTCAGCCTTGTATACTGCTCATTTAATCCTAATGAAAAACCATGATTCTAGAAAGGTCAACAGTTGGTAATAACATGTGCTTCATCTGTTGAAGCTTCGAATTATTAAAGAAATATTTTAATGAATATTGCAGCAAAGATTTTTTTTTTTCATGAGCTGATTGCTTTGCTTTGTGAAATTTATTAGGTTCATATAAAATGGTGTTCATCTGCTGTAGCTATCGGACTCATGTTTGATAAATTTAAACGCACACTTTGGATCTGATTCAGTGAGACGGAAATAGGTGTTGAATGCAAATTATAATCGTAACCATTTGGGGGACGTCAGAACATCTACGTCAAGGAAAATGAGTAATGGAGCGTGTTCTTAACAAAGACACAGAAAGGGCGCCTGTGCACGGGTGTGCATGCATGTGTGTGTGTGTGTGTGTGTGTGTGTTCAGAGTACCTACTTAAGATGTGAAGGTTGTATTGAGAAAAGAACCTAAGCTTGATGGAGTGCAGACCCATCTTTGCATTTATAGATGCTCAGAGGTTTTTGCATGAGTAGGGAGTAATATCTATTACCAAAATAGTCTGAACGTCTTGTAAAGAACTATAAGGTGTGAATAATGGATTATTTCTTATTCAGGACCTTTTGTCCTGTCTCTTACACTATCCAGGGAGATTACACCTGTGACCATGATCCTTAAGTACCGCTTTAAATTTATGTTTAAATTAAACTTTCCAGCTGATCACTGCATAATTTGGATTAGATTCCATTAGGAATGCTACTTGTACCAAAAGACTACAGAATATAACACACTCCCGCCATGCGACCCCCCCCCCCAACCGTGCTATCTTACTCATTATGTGTGCTATTTCAAAATGTCCTTATTTGGCTTTTTATATCCAGTCATTTCTCAGGATTCAGGATTTTGTCAACTCTTGTCCATTTCTTAACTGTCATTTTGCCGGTCATGACCGTTTAGAGTAACTTGCGAAATGGATTCAGCCACTTGGGTGTAATAGTCTAAATCCTAGGAGACCGCCCATCCTACTGGATGGCTTGTCTGTCCTTGCCTCTTTCTTTTCACTTACATGGGTTGTGACCCCCTTTCTCTCAACATCATCTACTTTATTTCATGATCCCTCTCTCCTTTCTTTCCCCCTCGTCAGCCTGAAAGCCGCAGAGCATTTTAATGCATTTTTAATCTCACAGTGGTAACTAAATCCTGGGTGACATTCAAGAGCTCCTCAATGTATATGAGTCATTTCGTATTCAAAAGAGCCCTTTTTTTGAAATTGTATCAGGCCATGAATAAATAAATCTCAGTGACTTCCGGCTAGCAAAGATGATTCTATTACCTGTGGGGATTTTGTTTTTGTTTGTTTGTTTGTTTTTGTTTTTTTAAACTTAGGGTATCAAAAAAGTTGTTTTCTTATTATAGATTGATTGATGATGTGAAATAGGATATACTTGTTCATGATGCTTCGACAGAAAGAATCTCCATAGTTGTTTGAAACAAGTCCTTTGCTTTTTCATCTGGGAGAGATCAGCTGGCATTCCTCGGGAAGTAAATGAATATACACTGATTATGATGGCTACACTGGGACAGTGATCTGATAGCACCAAGAATAACTATTTTAAAATTGAAACCATAATGACTCAAAAGAAAACCTCATACAATGGTGTAGGAAATCTATATTCAGAATCTATTCCTATCTTATAAAACAGCACTATTGATTTTTTTTTCCCCTTAAAGGAATGAGTATATCAAAATACATAAAAGTAACATTTTGTGGGAACCAAGTGTCACAAATGTCTTGAGGTTCTTCTAAACACCTGCAAGTTTTCTTGAGCTGTCTTTGAACATGGCCACTTGGATGGCCTAGCCCATCACAAACCCTCCAGATGCCATGGGGAGGAAAAAAATCAGCTGTTATATCTGATTTCCACAACACCAAACAACGTCTCCCATGAGTGTTTTAATTTCACATTTTATCTAAATGTTTTGGGATTGCGTAGCTGAAAGAGTTTTACTATCTGTTTTGAAGCCCCACAAAGGTTAGCGACTTCTGATACATCCATTAAGAACTCTTGCTTCCTCAACTCCCATACTGAATCGAAAGCATGCTACCATCCTCTCTTCCTAAAATGTCGTTTCTGGTGGAGGTTTCAGTGTTTGCTACCCTCACAGCTAGGGCAGTATCAATTTATTGATTGCGTCTATGCCCAGGGCTCTTAAAATCACACACACACACACACACACACACACACATACACACACACGGAAACATTGAAGTTGCTGGAAACCTAAAAAGAGAATGGAAAGGCATTTGCCTCACAATGAGTGAGGGATCCAATGACCCATCCCCAGCGTGTGAATTTGCAAGGACATTTATGCTATTGTCTTGTTTTACCTGGATTCCCCACAAGCATGTAGTCTCACAACTACATTGGGGTTTTTTGTTTTGTTTTGTTTTGAGGTTGACTTCTATGCCTCTTTGCTCCCAACTACAGTTGTACATGAATTGGGGGTATTTTTGCTTGAAGATACGAAATTGACATCTGTTCCTCCTACTTTGAGTGTCTAGATCACAAATTCCCCAAACTTAGGTGGCGTGTTCTTCAAACAGTCTCATTCAAATAGACTCTAATAAAACCCAGACCTTTGCTTTGTAGGAAAACCTCTCAATACCAGCATTGAGTTGAAACCATAGAAAATTATCTTCAAAATTTGTCTGGTGAGAGCGGTGGTGTGAGACTGTAATGAACTGACTTGAGCAAAATATCTGAGTAATTATTTTTCTTAGATTATTTATAGTAAGTATTTCAACATTCCTCAGATACTCAAATACTTGCATTCTAACATAAAAGAGCCTAAACATTCTACAAGAAGTCCATTCTGCAGGAAAGTGATGACTTTAGTAACATCTGCTAAAAATATCTTTCTGCCTTCACTTTTGAATACTTTCAAGTTTACCTAAGCTTTCCCAGGATATTTGTATGGGGGCAAGTTGATGAATTAAGATATTTCAGTCTGTTATAGATATTTTAAGAACAAAGATCTAAGGTTTGGATTTATCAGTTTATTTTTGTATTTTTTTAAAAGATTTTATTTATTTGACAGACAGAGATCACAAGTAGGCAGAGAGAGAGAGAGGGAGGAGGAGAAGCAGGCCTCCTGCTGAGCAGAGAGCCCGATGCGGGGCTCGATCGCAGGACCCTGGGATCATGACCTGAGCCAAAAGCAAAGGCTTTAACCCACTGAGCCACCCAGGCACCCCTATTTTTGGATTTTTAAAATAAATCTGAGTCTATGCGATAAAATGGCTTGTACATTCCTGCGTAGCTTTGTTTCAAACCTGAACTTGATTGAGAAGAATCTGTCAGTGGTCCAAAAAAGAAAACACAAAACAAAAACCACTAAAGAATACGGAAAGGAAATATAAAGATTTGAGTCACATTTCTTGCTCAAATACCTGTGTCCTCTAAAAGTAATTCTTCGAATGAAAACAGTACCTTTTATCAATGAAGGCACAGAAGAAA